CAAAAACTGATAAAAATACAGTAATTTGAGAGAACATATCATAAGAAAGCGATTTCATATTGTTATGAAATCGCTTTCAATAATAACAAATTTCAATAATAACAAAATTCAATAGTAAAAAAATCCATCTAACACTACATCAAAATAATGAAAAAGAGACGAAAATTCTCTAATTTCATATCTATCATCTAACTTCTAATACTCATCATTTTATGCGCTAGAAATTTCTTAAATTATTTCACAAAATTATATCTTAAATCATTACTTTTCACTTTACTTTTAACGCCTTCATTTCTGAATTGCTTATTTTTCAGCACCTTAGCAACTTTCAGCCTTCGCCTTATCTTCATCAAAGCGTATTCATTATTCTAACGCGTTCAAAATCGCAAGTTATATAATACTATACATCCAAATATCTCGTCTCTTCTTCCTACAATAGAGCAGTTTAATTAGATCATAAACAAAAGGGCAATTGCGAATTGCGAAACCTCAAATGGGTGTTGTAGAAGTGGTTGTTGATATAATTGTGCTGTAGATATGAGTGGTTGTAGAGATAGTTGTTGAATGGTTGTAGAGTGGTTGTAGAGATAGTTGTTGAATATCATCGAACGATTTGGATTGCTCGGCGTAGTCGGAGGAAAGCCACATCCGGATCCGTCATAAGTCGTACTTGCGCCAATTGATATCTTTGCGCCAATTTTTCCGGCCAACTTGATTCATATGAGTCGAATTTGATCGCGGCGTTAAATTGCGTTGCACCACTGTTCCATATTCCTTTCTTGTCGCCATAGCCGCATAATACCGAGCAATCCGCCGGAAAATTCCACTGTCGTTCCATAGGTGAGGAACACACTCACCAGTGACGTCGAAATCGCACACTGAAAGTTTAATTCATTAAAGCAATTGCCCTCTTACTGGTTTACCTTACAATTACTGAATAAATTTCGGTAAATTCATAAATATGCTACAAGAAAATGAGAAAGTCCCAATAATAATCATGATCATAATCAGTGAACGGAATTAAGGAAATGAACTGAACACATTTCGGTAATTTCATAAGTATTCTACAAGAAAATGAGAAAGTCCCAAAAATAATCAAAATCATACTTTCGATTTGATTTTGGTGATATCGTTCATGGCGATCAGCATTTTTGTAATTTCGCCTTGACTGATCTGTGTTGAATCTGTGGATTTGTGTTGAATCGATCTGCGTTTCGTGTTGAATATCGCTCTGCTCAAGCCATCGAATATGTTCTCCCTCTCAACGACAATTTTCGCAATTACCAATTCTTCGTTGTTGATGTATGTCCTGAAATGCTTATTTATTTTATGCTTCACAATAAAATAACTGCATGGTATGACCACTATGTATGGCCACTTGTATAGTGAAGTGAATCAAGGAAATGAATTGAAGCAAGTGATTACTTACGGGAATTTTCGATGGATATCTTCCGACGATGACGAGCGAATGGAAGAGATCGATTCTGATGATGATCAAATATCGAACTTGCATCAGTCGAGCGATCGATTGATGGATGGCTTTTTCATTGATGGACTGCATAAAGTTGCGAATCCATATCAACACTTTCTGTTGTTGCCATCGAAGATAACCAACACTCGCGATAATTGCCACAGATAACATTGGATGCTGACGATGAGCATCTGGATAATGATCATTCGCGATAACGTTGGTATGTCACAGATGCTGAGCATCTGGAGCTGTGATGATGCCGAATCAGTCAACAGAAGCAAATTGTTGTTGAGAAGCAATTCCATAGCTGGTTATAGCTACACTCTGAAGTTAGGGCTTCATCAGTAATAAATATTTCGCATTCTCTATGCACAACTTTCAACGACAATCAATGAAGCGACAACTTTTATCCACCACATAACTATTCCAATCACAATTCCGAAGCACCTGGATAACGATCATTCGCCATAACATTGGCATGTCACAGATGCAAATGAACGATGCAACAATGTAGTTCAAATCAATTTCCATTCAGCACTTCAAACTCTGAATGGTAACAGTTGCACACAGAAGAGTAGGAATTGCACTTCGATAGTTGTGTTTTCAATGGTGACATGCAGAACCGAATTCACTTCTTCATGTCACCATTGAAAACACAACTATCGAAGCATCACATATTGAAAACATAAACCGCACACAAATCAAGAAACTTATTGAATGAACTAATCGATGACACTGAGCCGTATTTATAAGCAATCGAATCAATGGCATCGTACTGACGAGGAATGCGCGCTCTTGACTGCAATCATTTT